ATATACATGTAAATATTTTCAAAATATATACTGTATGTGTGTATTTATATATACATAATAAATAAACACAGTGCACATACATATAGTATGTAAACTACAAAAACTTTTATTTTGGATGCGATTAATCGCGATTAATCGTTTGACAGCACTAGTTAATGCCCGTAAAATTTCATAATTTTTGCTACAAATTTTAACACCACAGCAAAAACAAAAGTTATGCTAAACATACTGTATATTTTAAATACATTAATAGATAATAAATATATATTTATAATAAATAGATTCATATATAATAATACTAATAAATTATTTTAATTTACTTTTTTACTTTTTAATTAGTTTTAGGTTTATTCCTTAATATTCATATGTATTATAAATCTATATTAATATTAACAAATTCAATTAACTCTAATTACATGTTAAAATAAAAAGTACCTTAAATTAAAACTATTTATAAGATTAGATATAAAAATAATTTAATTTAAAAGTAGTAAATGACTAAATGTTCAAAATTGAAAAATACAACATAAAATACGAATTGTATAACTGATCTAACTCATATAATATTCACTACATGATTATTATATAAAATACATAAGGATCAGGATTTAAAGCTATCAGTTTCACTGAGAAATAACGTTACTTTTGCTGTTTTAAACAGGAAAAGTGTAAGATCCTGATTAGCTATACTATTAACTATATGATGATATGTCCTTACTATATGTGGTATGGTTCTGTAAGTTCTTCTCTAGCTCTCTAGTATATTATTGTAATGGTTTATTTGTGCTTGCATATATTACCTGGTGGGGTGCAGTTGTCAATTGGTGACTGTACATATGCAGACCGACGCTTGGTTGGCATGGGCAGTGCCATCTTTTCCTCTTTATGCTTGGCCAACGCTGCCTGAACTGCCTCAGTGTGGATATCTGAGACAAAAAGAAAAAGAAAAAACTAGTTACAGGCCGTTTTTTTATCTTGGACCTCTGCACTTAGTGAGATGTTAGCAGATGTTTGGTTTTATCCAAAGTGACAGGAACAATCAACCTTGAACATCCTGGGGTTAAATGCTTTGCTCCAGAGTACAAGACTAATTGGAATCTCATTAACTTATTTTCTGTACCTTGATATAAATCAGTAACTTTTGTATATCAGCAAAGCTTCTAAACCAACAGCAGTCGCCCATCAGAGTTTTGGTAATGCTTACATAACAAGGCCCTCAACATAAATTATGCAGTGAAATCAGCTGATTGAATCCACAGGACTGATGAAACTGCTTTCTGACAAGAGTAGGACAGTAACATTTATAATCACATCTGTGGCGAACAACTGAACAAGCAACCTACAATCAAATAAGCAAGCTGCCATCTTGCAATTGCCACAAAGCACCAGAAATCCACAATGACACATTTCATCTAGGCATCCATTTTGTCCAAGTATGACTGCCATGGCAGATGACTAAACAGTTCTTACAAGGATGTGGTCAGAGAACAGGCAAATATTACCATCTGCAGACTCTCTGTAAACCTCACAACCCATAAATCTTAAGTAAAGATCAGTCTATACAAGGCTTGCAAATTGGAGTTCTATATTTTAAAGGTGAAGTGTGTCATTTGTTCAATGTTGAAATACTTTTTAATGTGCAGAGATCACTATAACCCTTACCAAAAAGTAGTATACTTCAAGTTTATTTTAGTAAGTATACTTAAGTAAAGTTCAAGTATATTTTTAAGTATACTTTATGTAGTAAGTATACAAATATCAGTGTACTAGTAGTATACTTGTAAGTGTCACTTGTGTTTTTTGGAAATTCTGTACAGAAGATGTGTACTAGCGCCCCCTACAGTATAACAATGAAATCACGGATTCTAGGAGCACAATTATAGCTAAAAATATATTTAGACTTTTTCTAAGTATAAGTCAAGTATACTTAAATGTCATTTTAAGTATATTTCTGAGAAGTACATAAAGCCCATTTCTGAGAAGTACATAAAAAGTAGACTAAAAGTATACTTTCCTATTTTTTAGTTTAAAAGAAGTATACTAATAGCACACTTGAATAAACTTCTTTTTCGTAAGGGAAGTAACCCATATAAGTAAGTTTATAAGTAAGCCGAGCTGTATATCATTACACCGCCATACATCATATTTGCTGAATGAAATCTAATACTACTTTCATTCTAATTTTGCAGTGCTGCTTCCAAAAATACTGCCTGTTTTGCTCTAGCATGTCACACTTTCTCACAAAATATGATGCATTTTGTAGCTCTTTGTTTTCAACAACCATGTTAAGGAAATATTGTTATGAACTTGTGCTTATGTAAAGTTCTTTGACATTAAATGAAGTACTTGAACATATTTTTCCACTCCTTTGCAGATTGTAAGATGCAATGTGATATATTTTGAATACTTCTATTTGTCACTAAAACGTTTGAATTTTGACTACATATTCTTGTTTTGTGAAAAAAGTACTTAATGGAAAGGTTTTTTAGATATATTTTTGAACTCAACATCAAATAAGCAGAATGTTTTTTTCCAAGATAAAGGGCTGTGTTATTTTTGACGTTAGAGGCAAAACATTTATCAGCCTCTATAATGGCTGATAAAATGAATAGTTTTTTTGTACAGTGGCGCTAAAGGCAAAAACATCACCTTTGAATTTACACAAGACGAACTGACTCACACTATACTGGCTGATAAAATGAAAATGAAATAGAAAACGATTTGTATGTTGTCAGGTTGTTCTAACCTGATCTGTAGCGTTCATCTCTCGTCCCACCGCTCCGGTGTGGACGCCGCGTGCGCCGGTGGCGAGAAGAGGAGGAGGACGAGTTCGAAGGGCCAGGTTCAGGTGCAGAGGCGGAGCTTGGACCAGGAGACTGTGCATCATAGGCAGGAGGCGGAGCTAAATCTGTAGAGACAATGAAGAGACAGTGAACTTCATGCAAACTAGCAGACGCAGTCAATGATTACAGAAAATGGAAGATATGAGTGTGAAGTAGATGTGAAAAGCTTTGGTTTTCATCTCATATATCTCCAGACAAATCAGCCCAACAAATCCTACATATCTTGCATCAGAGACTGTCAATAAAATAAGAGCAATTCATGCTGCAGTCCAATGCATGAACAGTAGAGGGCAGTGCAGAAGGACTCTAATCTAGATGGAACCCTCCAACCTCAAGAGGAACAGCCTGAGAAGATGTTTCATAACCACATTATCATATGAGTTAGTGGACCACTGAGAAAAACAAGGAGAGAGAGATAATATGGCAGAAAAGGAGATGGAGGGAAGAGGGGGCATAAGCAGAGATATTTCTGTAGTTCTTACTTTGTGTTTGTGTCAAGTAGGGTGCTAAAACCTTGGCCCTCTTCTTCTCATATCCTTTTTGTGTGATGTCACCTAAAAAAGAGAGATAACATGATTACCAATTAAAAACATGGACAGCATAAATTCAACATTTCATTTTGAGATACATTTTTGGTCGAACGTTCTTCAAAACAGTAAGACAGATTTTAGTTGGACAAAACACACATCTTTCCACTTCACTTCTGTGTAATATTCAACATGAGGTCGCCTTCCCAAAATTTTTTAAACAGTTCAAATACAAAAATAACTGCATTCGATCACAAAAAAATTAAATCAAGTGACATTTGTTTTAAAAAAGGTAACAAAAATACACCTTAAGCTAATTTATTTATAGCTTAAGTGTCAAAATACTATTTTGGGGTCAGTGCATTTCTTTTGTAACCCAACCAAGGGTATGTGTAAGAAAAAGGGAAAGATTTTACTTTTGCAATGTTAAACAGAAATTAGGACTTAAAATAAAATTGTAAATGGTTGCCAACATATTAAAATAACTGTGATATACACTAATGTTCAAAAGATTAAAAAAAGAAAGGAATACTACTCAACACGGATGCATTAAATTGATCATAAGTGACAGCAAAGGCTTTTACAATGTTATAAAATATTTCTCTTTCTAATAAATGCTGTTCTTTTGAACCTTAATTCATCAGAGTTCCAAAAGAAATGAACATTATCACTGTATTTTTGATCAAATAAATTAAGCCTTGTTGAGCATGAGAAAACAAAAAACTTTTTTTTTTTATTCAAAAATATTTTAAAAATCTTATTGACCCTGAACTGTTGAACAGTAGGGTATAGGCATTGGTATTGTAGTAGCAGATTATTAATAATGATAATGCTAAATAATATCTGGTAAAATACGAGTTCAAAGGAACACATTTTAGCTGTTGATGGAGGAGCTTTGGAAACCCTGGTTTAGAGAAACCCAAACACCCAAATCCTTAAAGATCATCACCATCTTACATTCTAACAGCCAAGCTGATTTGAGTGAGTTAGTGCTGGACTCATGTGTGTGCTTGTGAGTGTGAAAAAGAGCAGAATGTGTAATCTAGTGGGATTATGCAGGATGGAGAGAGCTTTGGTTATGATACGTGAGCAGCTCAAGCTCATTTCAACACATCCCCTGAAGGGGAAAGATTTCAAAAGAGATAACACAAAAATATTTATTATAGTCCCATAGAAATCAGACTGGCCCGTACGCTTAAGCGTTGACAGTAAGCGGCAGAGATTCATGAGACAGGCCACTAAACAAATCATTCTTTCGAAAGCATTTTCAACATTAAAAAAAGGGAAAATAGCGAAAGAAGAGTCAACTCCCATAAGTAATGCTTGAGGACCGAACCCAGACTGTTCTATCACATGTAGCTATGAAGGGGGTTGTGTATATAGTATGATCCTTTCAGTGTTGTTCAGAAAGAGTGGTTTTGAACTGCAGTAAATGAATGTCAACTTTCAAGACAAGTCATTGTGCTTTTGTAAATCAACCGCAAACTAGAAGGTTTTATTGGTGGCCTAAGGTGGTCCAGTCCACACTGAGGCTCAGATGGATTGTGGTTGGTTGTTGGGAGAATGATGATGATGAGAAGTGAGTGACAACAGACTGAGGCAGAAATCTACATTAAGCCTTGACCACTCACTCACACACATGACATGACATGACCTAAAATTAGACATCAACACACATGAATCTATGAATTAGTAACCTGTAACATTTATGCTACAATCCCACCTCAGAATCTCACTTCCACAAATTATAGATCTTAAAAATCATCGAAATTTGGAATTGTATTACTGTCTTTCAGTCTAATACAGTACAATTACCCATTCTAAACCATAGAACCTGCTATCTAATGTCTGAGCAATAATCTTAACCTGTAATCCAGACATTATGCCTGAAATCTAACCTTAATTAGTTCTCCCTCAAAGTTCTACCTCAAAGTTAACTCTTTTAAATTCACATTCCTAAACTGTAATTCAAATATACTAACCTGTCCTGAAAGGTAAATTATTCCAGGACTTAAAGCCAAACTGGTCTGACATCCAAATCTTATTTTTTTAACTAGTATCAATGCAACAAATCCACTCTATAATCCAATATTTATCATAAAAATCTAATCCAAATACTTTTCTAATATGGATCCTTAGTCTGAATTGAGCTGATATCAGAACATCAAGAGAAAAATCTTCTTAATCATGACAGCGCTGTAATCTTGTATTTGCAAGCAATTATGGGCAAAACACCTATGACAAGTGACCTTTTTCAGTACAGCACTTCTTTTCCTGTCTCTGGCATTTTCCATGATTTAGTTTATGCATACATAAACATCTACTGGCATGCGTGCATACACACATACAAACACGTGGGGATTTTCTTGGCCCTGAGAGAAAGGAGGTGAGGGAGGACAGCACTCCTTTAAGAGATAAAGCTACATGAGCGTTACAGTTTGACTGCATTAGCAAAACAGAAATGATTAGAGATAATCTTAAAAAAGTTCCTCTGGCAACCTACAAGTGACTTTTACATGCATATTCATATTAACAGAGAGATTAAATGGAATAATAATGACTTTAGCAAATAAATAAACACATTACCATTCAAATATGTGTGGTCACTAAGATTTTATGCTTTTGAAAGAAGTCTCCTTTGCTCAGCAAGGCTGCATTTATTTGCTTAAAAATACAGTAAAATTGTAACTTTGTAAAATATTAATAATTTATAATTGTACAATTTAAAATAATTCTTTGCTATTTTAAAATATTTTAAGATGTGATTTATTCCTGTGATGCAAATTCTTGATGTTGCAAAAAAAAAAAAAAATCGTTATTGTTAATGGTTTCACATTATGCATTTTCTGTAAAGGTAATTACAATAGACCAAAACCATCTAATCCCTCAGTGGCTTTCTGTACAACAGACATGCACACCAGCTGCTCGGATTGTGGGAAAGTTGGATCTGGAACAGGAATATGTGTGTCTCGCTGACTAGAGTGTGTATGAGGGAGAGAGAGAGATGGACAAACATCTTTTTTTAATTGACTGTGAGAGAATTTGTCTTGTTCTTTAGAAAAGCATTAACTTTCCCTGAATACAATGTTTTCAGATACTCATATCCACCCTCCCTCCGGTGTGCTGCATCACTGGCCCTGAAACACTATGACACCACAGAGCGCTCACAATGACTTTCACTCAAGACATAATACAGCTATCTCTCCATTGTGTCCCTACACACACACACACACACACAGCCTTGGTTACCCACCACCAGATGGTGACTCACCATTCAGCAACTGCCAACACTGTATCACACTGTACTGAAGTTGAATTTCATTGCCCTCCTTCACTGTTCTTTTGTCCACGTCCAACATTCTGTCTTTCCTTACACACACACACACACACACACACACACACACACACATTTCCTTTCCCTCTGGATGATGTCATGTTCTCCAGTGCTAAATCTTCTAGCCTATGACATGGTTTCCTGTTCTGCTGAGAATATAAAAACAGACTGTGAGAGACAGGGAGAAACGCAGACAGACAGAGAGTGACAGTGAAAAAGACACAACAGGGAGTTCAATTCATTCTTATCTGTTCATGGCTCTTTCTGTATCATACAGCCAGATCCACAAACCGGCTTTGAAAACCTGCTCATGGAAACAGTAAAGTCAGGGTTACCAGGGTGTGTGCATGCAGGTGACAACAAGACTCAAATTACCACTTTACACACCTGGGAACATGCCTTGTCAGGTGTAACCTTCCTAATTCACTTTGTAACACAGTATATATGGGGATGATCTGACCTGTGTCTACAGTGTGCTTCACCATGTGCAACTGCAAGTGTAAATGTTGTCAAACTTTATCATGAAGCAACCCTCTACATTGCGAGTAAATCACTCGCATATGCGATTAAATCTTCACTCTGGGCAACGAAATTATGTCTAATATTAGCCAATGGCTAATACATTCTCAGATTTTACTCCCAGTGTGTGAGTTGGAGGCTGAGTATATGATTAGCACAGATATATTTTCACTCACAGAACACTCTGGCTGAACGCTTCTAGTATAGTATAGTATTTCAGTCTGGCGAGTAAACAAAAAAATTTACTAGCCAATGACGATTCAATTGCCAAGGTGTCCGTAGAGGGTTGTGAAGAGGTGTCCAGATCACCCAAAATCAAAATCAAATAAAGTTTAAAACCCTAAAAAGCTTGTAGGACCCTTACAATTTTTTATTTTATTTTTGTTAAAATAATGACATTATTTTTAGGGACAATTTTACTCAATCTCAATCTCAATTTATTCAATTCTCATTAGAGTCTGAATTCAGAGTCTCATTCTCACTAGGGCTGTGCAAATAATCGAACGTCAATAATGCCGGTTCTGTGATTAGTAGTAAATCTCTAGCACGTGCGTTCAGATGGAACGGCATTTACTACACAGAGCCGTAGTTCACTGACAAGCTACGCAATATCGCGTTCATAATCGGCAATGAATAGCCTGCGATTTTGAACGCGATATTGCGTAGCTTGTCAGTGAACTACGGCTCTGTGTAGTAAATGCCGCTCCATCTGAACCCTGCCCTAATTCTCACTATTGTAACATGAAAAAAAGAAAATATATATTTTATATAAAAAACAGTTTTTATTATTACATTTGTTGTACTGCATCTAACGGTAAAAAGTGATTATAAATAATAATTTCAGTATTGAGAATAATGATTAAAAAATTATAAGAAACAAGAATTAGGGGGTGAATGTTTAATTGTACTGAAAATAAATGTCACAAAAAAACTACTGGACCTAATAGTCTTTATTTACTTTTATTTAATCATTATTTTATTTTGTCTTGGGATAAAACATGACACATCCTTACTTTTCCAGTTTTTGCGAGATACACTCCCTTTCTAAGGCTGTTATTAATGCTGATATGTAAAGTTAGGTATCTGAACCAAACCCCAAAAACTTTTTTTTGGCACATAACCCATCTCACGTTGTTTATGCTTTGATCATGAATATTATCAAATTATGTGGCTT